TATATATGATGGAATCACTTTGCTGCACAGCAGACATTAATGCAACATTGTAAATCAACTACACTTCAACAAAATAAATATGGACATTGACTTTCGTTACAGGGTTGAATAGAAGAGGAGGGAGAGCTCTGGCTAAGCTCCGAGGCGGCTGTGGAACAAGGAGGGTAAAGCATTTCTGTGCTTACTCTCCATCCCCAGAGGACCCTTCTGTGAACAACAGGAGCTACCTGAGCTGGAGAAACTCTCACCAGATCAGAGTGATTTCAGCTCAGCTCAAACTGGCTTGCCCTGCTGTGGAGAGAATCTGGTGTTCCCCTGGGGTGGTGTTCCTACAGATTCCCTTGGGGAGATTTTTCTTGGTTATCACTCAAGACTGTTGCCTCGCATTTGATGAGCGGGATCCAAGGATCTGTTGGGTGGATCCCACTAGGTTACACATTCACCTTGGTGACTTTTTTAGCTGGAGAGGACTGGCACCCAGGCATTTCCTACCAAGGGCTGAGCCCTGAAGATACCTATTAGACACTTTGCACACAAGTTGCCTAGAACTGGGTCTAAGAACAGGCCAATGGCCTGTCCTTTCTCCCTTGATACCTTCTTTCCCCATCAACCCACAAGTCCCCAATTTGTCAACATTCCCTCGGAAAGAGCTGAGAAAGACAGAGAGGAAGATACACTTGGAAAGAAGATTGGTTTGTACTTTATTTACAACAGAATGTAAGAAAAAGTAAGTTATTATCAATAATAAATAACTGGGAAAAAACACAAAACGGCTGCAAAATGACATAGGAGGATGGCTTCCTCACACAGTTAAGATGTGTGAAGATCAACTTCTGTTTGCTTTGCTGTCATCACACTGTGCATTCCAGAACTTGGTCCTTCAGCTGTGGCAGTGGTGTATCGACCATTTAACTAGTCAAGATCCCAGTTCGCAATGTAAACGCTAAAACTGACACTTGAAGCTACATGTAAGTGGCACAGGTATAACATCAGCTCAAACAGACTCTCTTGGAGACACACAGAAACTGAGGGGAGATTTGCAATTCAACAGACAGGCTTTTGATTTTAAGCAAAAACATTGAGGCTTATCCTAGAGTCTGTTAACAACAAAATGATAACAACAGCATCTGGAAAGGTCTCAACATATTCACATTTCTTATTGCACTAACTCCTAAAAAGCTTAAAACTTACATTTCAAATGAAACAGACTGCTTTGAAGGTAGAACACAGAAGAACCCAGTATGCGTTGCCTCCATATGCCATTGCTGCGCTCTTCTGAAACATTTCGTTTTTAGCAGGAAACAATAGTTTTCCTTCTTTATTTTTTTTTTTTAAGGAAACAATAGTTTTAAACAGTCTATTTATAATCAATTGCAGTTGCTGGACAGATTTTTTTTTTTTTTAGTTTTAAGAATTATGGCTCAGATGGCATATTGTCACCCAGCCTACTGAACCAGATGATCAGAACGAGACTAAAACTATTTAAACAATCCTTCTGTGTTGGAGTATCTGAATACGCATCACATATGGAATAAAATTACACTCTGGCCCTTCTGAAACGTACAACTGTTGTTGACCTATGCCAGTCAGTGACAAGTAGTCTTTGAGCCATGAAGAGGAGCTAAGGCGAGTAGGATTTAAAAGTACACATAAATTCATTAGCCATGAAACTTTCATGGAAAAATGATTTCTCGAGAAGTGTCGGAATCTACTCTCTTAGGTCACTGTTTATTATAGTGTCTTGGAAGAACACCATATAACAACATTTGGGAGTCTCGTTCTTTAAGTGTCTACATAAGACACGCACAATTGCACTAGTTAGAGATTTATTTTCACAATCAAAAACGTGGCTAATAAATGCCTTCAAATAAATTAAAGCCGTTTCCCCCACACACAAATGCAAAACCAAAACAGAAGGGTTTTTAAATTAGTTCACAAATGAATTCATGTTGTTTCAGTTACAATGTGGTAACTGAAGAATGTCACGGACTCCTGTGTTGTTATGCTTTTTTCTTTGCTTTGCCTTATTCTAGCTCAAAAGTAGGAAAATGAAAGGTCTTCAGAGCTGACTTCTGACAAAGTTTATGCAGTAAAAACACTGAGGCCTTCTTGTCCTGGAAAAGCACAGCTAAAGCAATGATCTGTTAGACAGCCAATGAAAAGCACAGGGGGCATTTGGTAATTTGAAGTCCATCCAAAGTAATGAAATTTACGTTCATTTTGATGATCTCCACTACATGAGAGACAAAGATGGGGTGAGCATAAATGTTATCTGTGGATTATTTCAATTTGGCTACCAGAGACTTAAAACTGATGGTGCTGGATTTGCCATACTATATTTATATATATACAGGTATAATACAATTTTGGTGAACAAAGTTGAAGGTTTCCACATGGCAGACAGAGGCACTGAGTTAAAATTCTATTTTTTTCCCCAAAACATGCTTAATGAATTCAAGTTTCTGGTTTTTTTCTTCTAAGTTTCCATCATGCAGCCATTTAATTTTCATCCTTATAGGAATTAGTAATGTTCTATATACACATTCATTGCAGGCTTGTACCCCACAAAAAACAAATCCATGTATGAAGACTGTGAAATGACGCTTGAAAATCAAGACAGATAAAATACTGAAGCCATTTATGCCTTGTGATGACTGGATTAAATATTTGAAGCAGCTAAAAGAATATTTGCACCCCTCCCCCCTTTGAAAATGCACACGAACCACATGTAGACAGAAAAACTGAACATACTCTAGGACCACACATATTTGTTGGCTAAGAATCACACTATCAGTGGTAGTTTTGCAAGTAATGTCTGTGGTATTGTACTGGCTTTAAGAGAAAGAAAATTCACAGTAGGAAACCAGGAATTAGCTTTCTAAAGCATATAGAATTGTTGACCTTGATAGAGGAAGCTACTTTACAAAAATGGAAAATGAGCAATGGCATCGACAGAAAAACTAGGTGCCAGATGTGTTAACCACGGGCTCAAAACAAATCCATTCCATGTGAATATCATGATCCCACCCCATCTTGATTTCAGCTTGCAAATGTTAAGCAAATACATACACTATGCAAGTGTCTTCTGAAAGGAGAATTTTGCTTCCTAAAGCCAGACATTCTTGTTAAGTACTACTGTGCTGAAAGGGAGCCATTGAGAAGTCCAAGAGATCTGGATAAAAGATCGAGTTTTCCCACAAGCAAAAATCATGCTACCATACCATGCAAAGAAGGCGTCTTACTGTGGTACTATCACTCTTAGGGAAGAGATGCACTGTTGATCTAAGCTATTTGCAATGGGTTTCCTTTGAGTTCTGGGTTTATTTATATATTAAGCTAAATGTCAACCTATAGGTTAAGAAATGATCTTGACAACCTGACATATGACTTAGAACACTTGGTGCTGGGCTCCTGGGGCCAGCACTTGCACCTTGGGAGAGTTTGTCCACTTGAAGGACACTGTGCAGAGTGCTGGGCACGAGAGAGAGAAGCAGGCAGGGTCCACTGGCTGAGAGCCTGTCTAAGAGGAAGAGGACACGCTCCTTGGTTTCCTTGGGAATCTGCGTTTGGGGAAGTCCCTTTCCTGAGGTTGGAGGTTATGGTCAGGAAGGCCAGCTGGGGCCTCGGAGTCGCCCAGTTACCTTGTTCTCTTCCTCCCTTGGAGGACAAATGCTAGATTCTGCTCTTCCTTCTGTGTTTAAAGGCAGTGAGGTGCAAAGGTGGCAGATTTTTCTCTTTAGATCAAAAGAGAGTTCTCTTTCTGCCACTGTGGTGAATGATCTTGTCTCCTGTCAACCTTGAGTCTAATCCTGCATTACTAAGACCCTCAGAAAAGAAAGCTGGACGGAGGGGCATCTTTTACAACTTCTTTTTACTCTATAAAGAAGAATCAGCCATTCTGCTCACTTTCTCCTCCCACTTGATGGCGCTGACTCAACTTTTGCCGTATTCCTGATATTTGGATTTCAAGTAAGGAACAAGAGAACAGCAATTTTTTCCTATGGCCCAGTGATGGGCAATGTATTCCAGGGAGGTCCAGATATTATTAAGAGTATCCCCGTCCCATTAAGGGGATGGAAACAAGTCCGACAGTGTTAAAAGTCCAGGCAGCTTACTCTACCCTGAACTTCTCTGAATGAGCATAAGAGTCAGTGAATTCTACTCAATTAACTGCAAATTCCGAGAATCTTAACAAATGATGTAAGGCTCGTTGATACCTGCAGGGAAAAAAAAAGACATTTGCCTCACCTGGGTCTGTTGGTTCCTAAACCAAACCATTCAAAATCAGTCTGTTATGGTCACATTTATCCATGTAATTCTTAAAGATTTCTGAGGCCACAAGGGCACAAAGGGGAAGTTATTAAAAGACAGAAACAAGTGGCATTTTTATTAAATTCTGTGAAAGGTATAAATAAGTTATTGTTAATTGCACTTGGAGCCTCTACAGGTTGATAATTAAAATTTTGAAAAAATTTAATGAGTTAATTAGGCCCCAAATCCTGAGTCAGACTAACCAAAGTAGGAATCTTAGTAACTCCTGGTATTCAAGTATTGGTAAGGAGCAGTTCAAAATTTAACAATTAGGTGTGTTATGCCTGAGAAATTTTTTGAGAATTTCATGCTTGATGGGAGGAAACTAACCTCATTATTTTACTATACCTTGTAACAGAGTGGTGTAAAGTTTTCATTTATTTACCCTTGAAGTCCATGCCAACCTCATCAAATACCCAACAAACAAGGCTTCCTCCCTGGCAACCAGCTGCGGCCACAGAAGATCTCTTCTGTCCTTCGCAAGTCTTGCCTTTTACATCTACTGTGACACTGTGTGGCAGACTTAGGGAGTCATATTCTATGTGAAATTACTTAACCACATGCACACTCAAGAGATCAAAGGGACATGTCTGAGTGACAGAGCAGTCTTTTTCTGTATCAGAAGATCCTTAAAAACAAACAAGACCCAAAACTGAAAATATAAAACCCCATAAAATATTCATATGAAGTTACTCTGATTTGGGCCGACATGGCTTATCTGAAGAGTGGATGCCAGGTAAATTCAGGGTGGCTTTTTTCTCAGGGTCTGGAAGTGTGAGAGTTTCTGGGGCCGACTTTTTCCGGGGCCGATCTTTGGGAACTGACAGGAATTCTGGTGCATCAGTGGAGAGAGGCGTGGATGGAGCGCTCGAAGGGGCACTGCGGACTGAAGAAGGCAGCAGGGGGATGCTGGAGATAGAAACGGCAGGTGGGAAAGCGCCGATTTTCTTGTTGGTGGCTTCCTGAGTGGCTCGTTCAAACTCTCGGACTTCATCCATTGTCATGTCTTAAAGGTAAAAAAGAAAAAAAAATGAGCAAGTATTGGAAGAGACACAAATGGATTCATCTCTCTGCCTGCTTAAAGGAGCTATCAGAATCCTGTGATTAAGGGGTCTCTCCAGATTATTAGCCCAGATTGTCTTTGAAATGCTAAACCCTGAATTTTTTCTTTTTACTGAGGCTGACCTCTGAAAAAATATTTCTTTATGAATATCCATCCAAGATTTTCCAAAGCACTTTCAATGAGTACTTTAAGTATTCTGAAGAAGAGTTTATCAGGAGAGCACAGAACCACACCAAGTTGTACGTGTCTGTACATCCGTGTGCTGTGGATATGGTGTGGTATATGGAGCTAATATTAGACCATGCCATCCTTTCTACAAAAGGAAGGTAATTAAAGCAATCAGTGGCCCCAAATGATACATATTAACAACTATTTTAGATCATGAAAAGACAAGTTTACCTTTACAGGGTAAACAGGCAGATTATCAGAATTTCTCAACATGGTATCCTCTTGTTCAATAAATATACTTTTTGCATTCTAGGAGTTACTTGTTTCCTAACTATGTATCCATCCTGAGATCTTTTTCAGAGGAAAAAACAAAGGAACTTTGCTAATTATCCCCAAACCAAGGAAACAAAACAATTTCTCAAGGAAACATAAAAAGAGCAGAGAAGAAAAAGAGAGGATCACAAAATCAGTGAGAATTTCATTTAAAAGAAAAAAAGAACATTATTTGGCATCCAAGAAATAAATTCAGTGATGCCTTATTTAATGGGCATTGTCAGATACAGACTTGCCAAATGTCTGTAATGTTCTTATGTGAGAGAGTTAAAAAAAATTCTTTTAAAGGCAAAGCCTTCCCTAATGTAAATACATCAATGTATTACACACGCTTACACACTTACTACCAATTAGACATAATATATGGAAAGAATATCACTGTGCTACAATACAGTGGTGACTCACTTCTTAGGACTGATTTGCTTTATATAGTGTCGCATTTCTTCTCTCATTCTCAGGAACTCTATTATTACTCTCAGTCTGGCTATCCCTGGTATCCTTTGCCAATTTTGTTACTGGTAACTGGGAAAATAGGTAACTGGTCTTATTAAAAAAGCTCTGAGTGAAGGCCGACAAGCTTGTCCTGGTGTAAAAGGTGAAACCTGCTGACCATGGGCTTCTGTACCTGTTTTATCTTCCCAGAGACCTGTGTTTTCACTTGTGTCCTTTCCCATGAACTTAGTTGGTGAGCCTTCATTGGATGACACTACATAAACCAGCATGAAACATACAGACACTTTGGAAATATTAACTATGGAGTGAATATTCATAACATAGTATTAGTCATTAAGATATATGATCTATAGTCATATCATAGCATACAAGCGAACCAGAAATATGTAAAAAAAATCCTTAAGAGTATTTTCTGGGAAAAATTATTAAGATTTTCTGGAAGGTAAAAGTTTTTACAAAGGAAATAAAAAATTATGCCTATGTTGATAGAATATAAAATTCAGAATATAGCAAGAACTGTACCTGTAAACTTACCACTTAGAACACTAAGGCTAAGACACTTAGACAAGCTAAGAAATAAGATTAAGTTCTTTAAAGAGAGGTATTTCAAAATAAAATTGAGACTCAGAAAAGTTTCAGTGAATTTCAGCAAAGTTTATCTTTGAAAAATCAGGTTTTCTTTACAAGTGGCTGAATGGTGCGCTACTGCATATATCCAGCAGGGGGCAGAAATCACCCAAAGTACAGAATTTTGATTCTACACTCCTATTCAGTCTCTCAGAAGTTCTCTTCCTTGAAACGTGTTGAAACTGCTCAGTTGAAAAGGAGACTGTTATTTCCTTATTGCTGGGGCCATGGATGTTCATTTTGCCCAGTTTCAATATAGTTTGTCTCTGCTCAGGAAATAGATCTAAATTTATTGAGCACCCATGTAGTTTCTGTGATGGACAGCAGCCTCTTGATTTCAACTTTTTCATTATGATAGAGAAGAAAAACATGGAAAAATCAATGACCCTTCCCAACTTGATGGAATTTCAAAGAATAAGGCAAGTGTGGTATGCATTTAAAGATAACCACATTGTGTAACTTCTGAGGAGATGGGCATTTCTGACACCGAAGTTATGGGAAGGGCTCTGAGTTGCAGCCAGAGAATGCACGGGCTTTCCCATGGGGACACCCATTCCAGGAGTCACCGTCTGAACGGTAAACTGACTTTCCAACAGTAATAATCAGAGTAAAATGGAAAGAAAACCAAACCAAGGGCCTTAAGCTGTAAGAACTGAGACTGAGGAAAGTGCTGTGTGGCATCCTTCGCTAGTGGCATCTCCCCCCTTCCTCTGGTTTCCTTTGTCTTGTCATGCTTACACAGGGAGCGGCTTTCAGACAGCGGCTGAGGGGACAGGCATCAACACTCCTAAAGGAAAGGTAACTGGGAGTGATGGCAATTTAAGGACGGTTTCCTCACGAGCACTTCTAACGTTAGAACGGGGAGAGAGAAAGGGGGAAGCCCTACAGCAACTGGCCAGCGCCTCCAGAGTAACACTTCAATTAACTCTGATCCAAACAGCTTCTGCAAGTCCAACCACTGCATGCAAGAAGAGTTACGGCCATTTCAACCTCAAGGGCTGCCACATGCATCCAACAGCAGCACATAATGCCTGATGGGGCACATTCCCAAGACATGCTCTCAGAAGTTCACTCGACATTTCCAAGGTGCAACCAGAGGTCTTCACAAATCTAAAGCATTCACAACAAGAGCCATCTCTCAATTTTCTAAAACTACACTGTAATTTCTTACATAGCTAATATGCATTATTCTGGGTCTGACAGACATGCAGGCTCAAGCTGGCACCCGAACAGACCACAGCTCTGGCCAAAGATACATGAAAATGACTTGGTGATTACATTTTCTTTGTTATCTGTGATTCTTCCTCATAAGCACGGATGACTGATAGAACTATATTTAAGATGCTGGCATGTAGACAACACACTGTCAGCTCTCAGTCACCAACGTGCCATTAAATAACCTTAGGCTCTCCGAGGCTTAAGTCCCAGCCTGACCTAGCTCACCCCACCTTCACTGTTCAGCCAGTGTGTATGCATGGACAGTAGCCCCGTCTGGACAGGAACCTAAGTAAAAAGGAACCAAAGGTAAGACAGCCATAAAGAGCCATGGAAAGCATTTCAGAGCAAATGCAAAGAAACGGAAAATACCAGATAAGCCAATAGCCTTCCCTGAAACGAATGACTGAACGTTAACTATGTCTTTAAAAGCTACTGGCGCTGATGATCTAGCTTTTGTGTGACATCCATTTCTACCCCTCTGTTCTTTTGTGGTGCAGGCCACAAAATGTTTCCATTCTCTATGCTCTTGGTTTTATGACCAAGACAACGTAACCTCTGAGTCAAGTGGCTTTAAAGAATAGAAATGTCTGGAAGCAAGAGGTAACAACGTCCAGTTAAGACCCAGCTCAGGTTCTTCGCCGACAGCCTCTGGGCTACGACGCTTTTTTTGTGGAAGTTTGAGAATTGATGCGTTTGAAGTCATTTCAAAGATCGGTTTATGGGTACGTTTGGTAAAGAGTGGGCAACATGTTTTAAAAATTCTACATACACTTGTTTGGGCCTGGCTCTCTATGTCATCCACAGTGGAGGAATGCTGATTGCAAACTTTTATGTTGGTTTGTTCATGCATGTTTTTCTCGTATTCCCGAACATCATCCATTGTCATATCTGAAAGAAGGTCAAGACGTTGGCAACTTCCGTTATTAAAGGCGAACTTTCAATGGGGGAAACTTTAGGGGATGATGGCAGCTTAGCAGAAGCCAAAGAGAGGAGTAAAAAAGCAGGGAACTCACTAACTTTATGACGGGTTAATCACAAAGTTAGCTAAACCAGCCAAAGGCGGAGTGAATACAAGGGAGTTAAGTCAAAACAGTCTTAGAGCTGAGAAGAATGGAGATTATTTAGGGGTGATTCTTGTACAGTGAGTTAGGTGGGCAGGAAGTATTAGCTTGTGGACAGGGCTGTAGCCTGAGATCTCCTAAAAGCATGGTTAGAAGATCCCTGTAAGGGACAGGGTCAGGTTTGTGTGGTTTAATACTTACCTTTCAAAATAGATTTGGAAATTCTTTACAGCAATGCATTCAACAACAGAAAGGACACTTTCATTGCTATTGTAAGAGACATGACATTGAGGGCAGAGAAACGATGTCCACTGCTCCTGGTGAGATTTGGGTGCAATGCTCACACAGATGTATTTTTGCACAGAATACATGGTGTCAGAGAGTGCAGGTCTACACTGAACTTCAAGTCTAACCTAACAGCATGAAGAGGGCTGGCACTACTTCCACCCACACAGTTTTAGAAATAAAATGGCACAAGACATTATGATTTTTTTGGCCTGATTCTGCAGATTTTTCAGGATTTCAGAATAAGAATTTCTGAAATCCTGTGGTTCTAAACAGGGGACAGTTCTGTGACACTTTTGGTTGCCACGACAGAGGTGGAGGTGCTACTGGCACATGGCCAGGAGGTGCCAGGGATGTGGTAACACATTCCACAGCGCACAGTCCTCCTCCCTCCCCGACAAAGAATTATCTGGCCCAAAATGTCCGTGGTGCCGAGGTTGATCCAAGAGATAAAAAACTTCAACAAAGACCCTGCTATCTTTGGTATGTGCAATGCATAAAAATAATTAGTCTCAATTTAAATGTTTCCGTTGCTTTATCCTGCACTCCCCACTCCACTCCTTGGATATTTTACAACAATTCATTAGCAGTTTCCCCAGATGGGGATTCCTCTGCCACTCTCCTGGCAGAATTTAACTTCATGCCTCTTTACAATGAATGGTTCATGCTCAACAATTGGTTCATCAAGCTACCACCTTGATCACTAATTAGCTTGGTGGGGATTTAGAGCAAGTATTTACAGGTGGAATTTTTCCATTAGTATTTTCTGCATCATGTGGTCTGGTGTCTTTTTATATC